TATATATTTTTAGTTGTCCAGCTAATTTCTTTCTATTTTTAGTAGAGACGGGGTCTCACTCTTGCTCAGGCTGGTCTCGAACTCCTGAGCTCAAGTGATCTGCCCACCTCGGCCTCCCAGAGTGCTAGGATTACAGGCCTGAGCCACCACACCCGGCCCTGAGGGTCACTTTTGTGGTGTCCCTTGGCCCCTTGAGTGGCAGGCTGCTCTCCTAGAAAGATAAGAGATACCCTTTCCTTAGTAGGACAGGAGCAGAAGAGGTTAGCAGTTGGCCCTACTGCTCCAAGGTTGGAAGAAACTGGAAGTTTGAAGTCATATTTACTAGAAGTTTTTATTTTTTTGAAAAAAGAAACCAGTTCCCCCTAAGTTGAATATTTATTGATTGCGTGTTAAATGTCTCACGGTCTGAGTGGTATTAGGAAAACTGTAGATATAGTTCTTGTTCTTGAGGGGTTTCAGGCTAAGGAGTACAGTACAAGAGAATATTGTAGTTGTACAGTGACATTTATCATGTCCTTAAATTATATATCAGAAAGATGAATAAGCATTCAATATGAACTCAATTCACAAATGGTGGGCAAGTGACAGCTGCTGGAGCGTTCCAGATGCCATACTGTAAAGCTTCAACATGCATCTATTCCAAACAGGTGTGGCTTCAACAATGTTTGCTTTCTTCAAATCTAGATACCATAATTTTCTTTTTCTTTTCAGAGACACGGTCTCACTCTATTGCCCAGGCTGGAGTGCAGTGGTGCGATCATAGCTCATTGTAGTCTTGAACTAACTCCTGGGTTCAGGCAGTCCTCCTGCCTCAGCCTCCCAAGATACCATGCTCTTTAGGGGGAGCCTTTCATCCTGACCTAGTAAAGTTCTTTTGGGTTCACTCAGCTTGCACAATGACTTTGTCTTCCTGGTTTTGGAGTCTTGTGATGACTGTCAAGCTTTGTGCCATTTCAGGGTAAATGTCAGTAGCACAAATAAATTGTTCTTTGAATAGACATTTCCTGAGCTACTGAGCAGGAGTCAAGGGCTCTGACTGGTACTGGAATACAAAGATGCAAGACCGCTCTCTGCCTTGAAGGAGTTTGCATCTCATAGCAGAGATGTGCTCCAAGTAATTAGAGCACAATGTGTTTGGTATTTTTATCAGTTGGGAGAGTAGCTTAGATAATAAAGGCATTTAACATATTGACTGCCACATTGGGAAAAAAAAAATGTTTTCCTTGGGGCCACGGTGTTTTATTATGAAAATAGAATAAAAATTTCAAAAACAAAACAATGCTTTCTAATTAAATGAAAAATTTGTTATGGACTTCTGTTCATTTAATCCACATTTTTAGAATCGTCAACATTAACTATAATAATAAGAACATCAACAAGTAAGATTTTCACAAACTAACCGTAGGGTTTTGCCTAGATTTTGCTTCACGAGGCCCTGGGCTCAAAACTAGCATGAGTTAAGTACAACTCACATGGCAGTTAATTTGTTAATTATCTCATGCTAGGAAGTCTGGACATAGTAGATTCTACTGTTGGCTCAGCATTTAAACTGTGAAGTTGCCGGGTCCGTATCTTCTTGGTTTTCACGTGCTCATCATGAAACGGCCACAGCTCTGAGTATTCTGTGTCCTGAAGCAATGAGAGACAGCCAGGCCTTTAAGCATCTGTGTGCCTCTCTCCTTTTTAACTAGGAATAAAAATCTTTTCCAGAAATTCCTACTCCTCTCTCCCTCCCTCCAGTTGACGCCCGCTACCATACCCAGAGTTCATGAGCCAGAACTTGATGACATGACCACCCAGGCATGCCAGGGAGGCGGCAGAAGTACTTGGCAAAGAGGACTTAGAGCAATCCTGGTTCCTGCCCTAGGGCTTCAGTTGTCACTGTGCAGGATCAGGTCCGTAACGACAAGGAAGAAGGAGGCGTTTGTTGGGTAGGCAGCTAGCTAGCGGCACCTGCCACAGTGCTACAGTAGGAGTGTGTACAAAGGACCATGGCTGCACTGATCAATTCCAGACTGTGTCAGACACTAGAAATATTAATCTTTGCCGTTAAGTAGCTAACACCCTAGTTGGGGAAGTCTACAGTTGCATTATGTGATGAGTAAAGTAACAGTTGAATGAGAAAATGCTTTAGGAGTATATATTATTATTAGATTTATACTTTCCTTTTTCCTGGGGTAAGGTGAGGATGGGCATGGAAGCTAGGAAAAAGAAATGGTGTTTCAGCTGAGTCTTAAGCTGGCCTGATAGGTGAAGAAGCTAGAAGGCAGTGTTCCAAGAAAAGGCATAGAAGTGTGAGAGCATGGTATGTTCTGGAAATCTCCAATACTGTTGATGTATAAGGTACTAATGGGGCAGCCTCAGAAACTGGCTAAAAAGGTTAGATGAGGGCCACATCACAAAGGGTCTCCCATGCCATGGTAAAGAACTCATACTAAGCAATAGGTCATCATTGAGGATGTTGGAACAGGGCAAACATGAACCGATTTCCATATTAGAAAGGTTACTCATAAACTTTGGGGAATGAATTGTGGAGTCAAGGCTAGAGATGTGGAGACTTCAGGGGATAAGGCCCTAAATGAGGTCAGTAAGATGTGGGGATGGCATGGAGCTGAGAGGCATTTGAGAAATCAATTTGATGAGTTATAGTAGCCAGGGAATTGTGACATGTGATAGAAATGGAAAGGGATCCTCAGGCTTTTAGCTTGAGCAACCTGGGAGGTGGTGATGCCATTTGCTGCAGTGGGGAATAAGGACTGAGCAGGAACAGGAGGAGGAGATGAATGAACTTCTGTGGTTTCTGTAGGTGACCCAGGAGAGAAGCCTGGACTATAGACAGACATTTGAGATTCATTATGTAAGTGGTAATTAAACCCATGCAGTGGCTCCCACTGAGCTTATGTATTGAGAAGAGAAGATGGCCCAGGGTTGCCCACAAGCTGTGTGGTCATACAGGGTAGGGTTGGTCCTTGTAGGGATTATCAGCATCTAAGGAGCAAGTTGAGCAAAAGGAGTTTGTGATGAAAACTGAAGAGGAACAGTTAGAGGAGGAGGGCAAACACCAGATAAAGATGACTTTAAAGCTGTATGGAAATGACTGTCAGAGGGAGGGTGCCTCGATGGAGTAAAGGCAAACAGAAAGGGCATGTGGAAAAAAAGCAAAGGGTGTGAGCCATGCTGCAATGGATATATCCATGTAACAAAAATACTCTCTTAATATTTTGAAATTAAAGAGAAAAAGACCAAAAAAATTTAAAAA